AACAACCACAAAGAGACACACAACAACCACACAGGGACTCGGAACCACCACAAACGGACCCCTAACCCCTCAGCCTGTCCTCCTGCTTCCCTCCAGACCAGTAACGGCGGCGGCAGCCTCAGCGACTACTCGTCGTCGGTGCCGTCCACTCCCAGCACCAGCCAGAAGGAGCTCCGGATCGACGTCCCGCCCGCCACCAACACCCCGACGCCGGTCCGGAAGCAGTCCAAGCGCCGCTCCAACCTCTTCACGGTGAGTCCAGACTGTCCGAGGCGGTTGTGATGACAGGAGGTCATTGTTGGATTTGTACCAGCAGAACCTGAACACGACACAGAGAACTGGACTTTATTCTGCTGCAGTCAGTGAATTATGAAGCAAAGAACACATTTATGATCGTTATGAGTTCTGTGACGTTGGGCTCAGAAGCAGGTCCGTGTTCGGTTCTTTAGCTTCATGCAGTTCACTGATGATTTTCTCTGTTTCATGTCCTGAGAAGCTGTTGGATCTGTGGTTCTGATGTCACTGTGGTGTTCCTATGAAACGGTTTTATTGTCTGATTGTCACCAGTAGAACGTTAAAACAACATGAGAGCAACGGTATCAGGTTGCAGAGCAGACGTTCCAGCTCTGACTGGGTCGTGTTTCTGAGCGGTAACGAGCCTCCGTCGCTCTCTGATCTGTTCCACAGTCGAGGAAGGCGAGCGAAGCCGACAAGGACAAGAAAGGCCTGGAGGCTCGGGCCGACAGCATCGGCAGCGGGCGAGCCATCCCCATCAAACAGGTGAGTCTCTGAAGCCTCGTTAACACAAACACTTGACTTCAATTAGTGTCGAGGGTCTCCGGGGTCCCGCAGCCATCATTAGCGCCGCGAAGGCTCCTCTGTTCGGACACTTCAGGCCCCTTCAAAGCCGCCGCCGCCTTCTGAAGGAACAAAAGCAGCAGAAGAGGCAGCCGAGGATGAGGCGACCTCCCTGCTGCCACGGCGACGGCAGCACCTGAATCTGATCCTAATTCCTCTCAAACGAGCAAATCAGCCAATTAGCGGCGCTGTAATCGAGTCGCCGCCGCCGCCTCGCCTGTGATCTGTGTTTGTTTCTGGAGCGGTTTGATCCCAGCGGAGGCTAAACGTGTCCGGAGCGACCGAAGGCGAGTCCAGACGGACGAGGAGACGACGGAGCTCCACCAGAACCGGCCCGACGTGACAGAACCACGTCCTGAAGGGCTGAAGGTTCACGTTAGTGTCTCAGCGAGCGTCCAGGAAGACGTCAGCTTTCACCGAAATGACAGAAACATTCACAAAAAAAATGTTCAAATGATTCCGATTTGGTTCAGAAAGACACTGATGATGGTTCCTGAAGGTTCAGGGATTTATCGTCATCAGATTCTGTCCAGAATCACTGAATGTGTTCAAAGTGATCCGATTGTTGTCCAGCAGAGCTCCGACTGTTCGTATCAGTGATCCACATCCGTCTGAACCGACACCTTCCAGACTTTCTTCAACCTCAACACGACTTCAAGTTTATTAAAAATCGCCTCAAGAAGATGTTCTGACCCACAACGTGTGACCTGAAGAACTTTATGTCCTGATTGATTTGAAGATTTTACCAAAATGACAAGAAAGTGCAAAATAACTGAAATGTACCGTCAATGATCCGAACCCGTCCAGAACTACAGAATGTGTCCAAAACGACTCGACTGTTGTTCACATGAACAGTTTTTACCCCGAAATCATTCAAATAATCGTCTAAAATGACAAAAATGATTTGATGACCTAAATTTGTCTGAAATGATCCGAACCCGTCCAGAACTACAGAATGTGTCCAAAACGACTCCAGTTTCATCCAAAATAACAAAAAGCTCCAAATTTACCCAAAACTACTCAAACCGTGAGCCGAGAACAATCCACGGTGACAGAATTGATCCTAAATGACTGAAAACTGATTGTAAATGAGGATAAAAATGTTCTGAATGATCTGAACCCGTCCAGAATGATACATTTTGGGCAAGTATTGGTCTGACAGAACTTTTGTGCTGACTGAGTTTTGGATGTGTGGCCGCTCTGTGCCGACGGCCTCCTGAACGTCCTGGACGCTATCGGCCCTGAACGCCTCCCGGAGCGCCGGCCGGCTGCCGCTCTCCTGCACTCGCTCATTATTCTGGGTTTTCGGCCTCCTCCGGTTCCGTCGGCTCTTCAAAGCGTCTTTACGGGAGTAAAAGCAGCAGAAGAAGAAGTCGGCCTCCCTGCTGCCTCGGCGGCGGCAGCACCTGAATCTGGTCCCGATTCCTCTCAAGCCGGCCAATCGGCCAATTAGCGGCGCGCTAACGGAGCCTGTGATCGCTAACGAGCCAATCGGATGCAGACGGAGCTGCTTCAGTCCTCCTCAGCTTCTGCTGCTGAAGCAGGAAACCGTCTGGGTTTCACCGGTAGAGCCGAACGGTTCTGCTCAGAACTGGTTTATACTGCAATGAAAACCCAAATGAACAGAAAGCTTCTCTGACACCAGAAGAGCTTCAGAAACCACTGAGCGTTCGACCTGAATGACAAGAACTGTTCAGACATGACAGCAGAACCAGAACAACCCAAATCAGTGGACGTCTGTCCGTAAGGTACTGAGAACAGAACCTCAAACGTTGTCCAGAACGAGTCAAACGCTGCTGGAAAGTGACAAGAAATGTCCAGAATCAGTCCAAGAATTGACCAAAAAATCGTCTAAAGGGACAAAAAGGACTCAAAGTTGTTCAAAATTAAAATTTGACAAAAATGTCCAAAATGTGACAAGAACTCGGTTTGAAATCTGTCCAGGATATAAACTCAGAGTGTCTAGAATGAGTCAGAACATCCCGTCCAAACAGAACTCGTACATTCAACCAAGCTGAGTTAAAAACGGTCCCAAACGATTAAAAGAAAAAGCCCGGTGACGCAGAAAGTCTAAAATGACTCAAGAAATGTCCAAGACGAGAAACCGTGACTCAGTTTGTGGTAAATGACTCGTGTGTCTAAAACTAGTCAGAAATTGACCCAAAATCCCTCGAAACCTCAAAGTTTGTCCAAAATTAGCTTTCAATCATCGTTAACGAGAGAAAAAATGAAAATCAAGTGACTCAGTTTGCTGTAAACGACTAAAATGAGTCCAAACTCAGCGTAAAGGACAAACTGAGTCCCAAAGGACCTCAAACAAAATCCCTAGAACCTCAAAGTTAGTCCAAAATTAGCTTTAAGTCGTCGTAAATGACTCAAACATCCTCCTAAATGACTGAGTTTGTCCAAAATTAGTCACAATTTCTCCATAAAGACTCAAAACGTGCCCCAGATGCTGAACATTGACCTCAATGACTTCATCAATCAAACGTCTGTTAGAAACGACTCAAACGACTCAAACGGGAGTAAAACAGCTGAAAAGGTTCTGGACTCGGGAATCGGCGTCGACGAGACAAACGTGTCCCGAAACACCGAAGACCTCCACGTCTTCACCACGAAGCGGTCCATGAACACAGAACCAGAACCATCAGGTCCTCAGTTTTAGCAGCAGAGCATTGACAGCGAGACGATTGACTCGCGCTGATGACCTGTCAATCAAACGGAGTGGGCGGGCCTCTGCTGCTCGGTGTGTGTGTGTGTGTGTGTGTGTGTGTGTGTGTGTGTGTGTGTGTGCGTGTGTGTGTGCGTGTGCGTCGCAGCCACTTGTTGCGCGTCCTGATCTCATTAGTGCGACTCTCAGCGCGACACTCGACATGTGGAGGTGACGGAGGTTCGCTTCTGAGAGGGAACGCCTTCGTTAGCGGCGAGCAGCTCGTTAAAACGCACGCCGGCTCACACGGACTGACTAATGAGAACGGGGCGGGATCCACTCTGACACAATTATCCCGCCGACGCTCACATTAGTCACACAAGCAGCACAAAGAGCAGCGGGACAAACAGGAAGCGGCGTTCGGCTTCAGCGCCGCTCGTTTCTTCTCGTTTCCTGTTCGAGCCTCTGATGTCGTCTCCGTCTCACACCGACTCCCGACCTGGACAGAACCACCGCCGGGTTCCAGTCACTCGTTCAGTCTGACGCGCACAGAAACAAACTGAAAATCCGTCCTGAAATAAAAACGTTTCCCAAAATGCCGGAAAAAAAACTGACCAAAATGAAAACGACTCAAACATTTATAACGACTCAAACATTTATAACGACTCAAACACGGCAAAAGATTCACAAAATGACTCAATCGTTGTCCGACATGACAAAAACATTCTACATTTGTAGAAGACGACTTAAAATCTGCCCGACACCTTTAATCAAACTCAGATCGACTTAAACTTTGTTCAAAATGAGTTAAAAATGACTGAAATTGTGTCCAGAACAACTAAGACGTGAACGACTTAAACGTTTTAATGAACGACTCAAAACTGTAAAAAAAATTCTTTAATTACTCAGAATTTGTGGACGAAGACTGAAAATGTGTCCTGAAGTGAAAACGTTTCCCAGAATGCCGAAAAAACGTCCAACAAGAACCAATAAATCATCCAAACCGACNCTGTGTGTGTGTGTGTGTGTCACTGTGTGTGTGTGTGTGTGTGGTCTCCAGCAGTGCGTTGCAGTGTGTATTATTTTGTGTGTCAGTGTGTGTTCATGTGTGCGTCTCCTCGATGTTTGTGTCACATGTGTGTGTGGTTTTCTGTGCCCCCCCAAAGTGTGTATCGACACTAATTGTGTGTTAATGTGTGTGTGTGATATTGTGGTTGTGCGTTTGTGTTGTGTATATTTTGTGCATTCCTGTGTACGTGTTTGTATTGTTGTGTTGTTTTGTGTGTTTTTGTTTGTTTTTGCAGCACGTGTGTGTGTGTGTGTGTGTGTGTGAGGGCACGACACATTGTACACACACACACACACAGGCTCGTTTCCTCTCTTTACAAAACAAAAGCAAAAGTAAACAAACAAACAACAACAAAGATGTTTTATTTCAACATTCAGTTCTTTTATGGACATTTAATGAATTCATATTTTTCCCATAAAGTCTAAACTGGTTCATATTTAATGTGAGAATGAATCAGGTTTAATTGTTGTGAATATTATTTCTAAACTCAGCCTTTTTCTTTTATCCACTAAAGTCTCATTTCTGCTCAAATCGCTTCTCAAAGTTCGTTTATTTAGTATTTTTTAAAAAAGCTCAATAATATTCATCCATGTGCTCTTTATTCCTTTAATTGAATTTATTAATTAACTTACGATTCATGCCATTGGTCTGAGCTTCATTTATGATTATATGTGGAAATAAATGTAATTTATATTTTCAATTATAAATCCTCCAAAGCTTTTTATTGTTATTATTATTATTATTGTTATTATTATTGTTATTATTTTGTCTTTAGTCACAACATCCTGTCTACAAAACACAACAAAGATAAATTAATAATAATAATTCAGATAATGAGATTTATTTTATTCCTTAATTCAATTTACTGATGTTTTGTTTTATTTTAAATTATTTTACGTTGAACTTTATTTTATTTCGTTGAATCAGCTCACATCTCACCGTACGGAGCTTCAGCACATCACCTGGTTGTTCAGGATCGTTTCAGACCATTTAAAAATCCTTTTAAACACAGAATAAGTTTTAATTCCTGCTTGTTTGTAGTTGTATTTATTAATTCTTCATAATTAATTCCCCCTGCGTTGAGGCGCTGCTGCAGCCCTTATTGGACTCTGATGGATGCGTTTATGCAGATGTCTGATTGATTCCTGCTGCTCGGCCGGCCGCTCCGTCCTGCTGCTGCGCTGACAGATTGTTTCCAAACACTCAGATTTAAATGACATTTTGCAAAACGTCCTCGTGTTTGTCGATGAGCGCCGAATGAAATCACGATTTATGATCGAGTCGCGCCGTGGCTACGCGTGTCTATTGATCTCACATGTATACTTCCGTGACCTTCGCGGGGGGGCGGGGCTTTAATTACACATCACTCTTGGATTCGGCTTCATAATCGTCATGGCGACAGGCCGAGCGCGGAAACGCTGATGCGCACAAACCGGACTGAAGTCAGAACACCAACTGTGCTGAAACTCCTGCATGACTGGAGTGTTCCTGCTCTGCCATGATACCACCGCCGTGCTTCATCATGATGCTGCCACCGCCGTGCTTCATCATGANCACACACACACACACACACACACACACACACACACACGTTTATGCAGCAATTAGCTGTTTTTTCTCAGGAATTCAGGCTCGTTTGAGTCGTTTGAGACGAGATTTAAGGAATTTGTGACGAGTTTCGACTCATTTATGACCAATTCTGAGTCGTTTGTCATTAATTAGGAGTAATTTAGGACATTTTGAGTCTTTTGTCATCATTTCTGACGACATTTTAATCATTTGTGATGAACCTTCAGTCATTGTGGATGTTTTTGTCGTTCATCGTGCTTCATTCTGAGTCGTTTTATGTCAGTTTAACAGATTTTTGTCGTTTATGGTAAAATTTTTCGTCATTTCTAACAAATCTTCCATTTAAGAGAAACTTTCTGTTACTTGTGGTGAATGTCGACTCATTTCTGGGTCACTTTGGGCCATTTTGTTGTTCAGGACGAGTTTGTGTGATTTCAGAGGCGGTTGTTGAGTCCGTCTGGTGACTCCTGAGTCACTCTGAACACACTTTCATTCACCCACGACAGATTTTCAGC